TTATCCATCCAGTTGAATCGTATTAAGTCGCAATAATGCGTAATTATAATTCTTTATAAAAAAAAAAAGAAAAAGAAAAAAGGAAAAAGAGAAAAAGTTTCCAAAAAGAGAAGATTAGACAGATAACGTTTTTTTTTGTTAAGGAATCACGTCGTGGATATAGGATATCTCCCCAAAAGAAAAGACCGTTGAAAGGACTCGACGAGAGAGGACGCGTAGAGAGGGAATCGTCACGCCACGTCAGAAGGAGGGCATAACGAAGAATAAATAATTAGCGTGCGGCTTCGGGACTGCGGTTTAGTCGCGCACGCGATTAAAGGACGTCCTGTCCTTTAATAACATCCTGAGGGTTGCGGCCTTCCAATTCTCTTTTCTTTTTTCTCTTCTTTTTTTTTTCTTTTTTTTTCCTTGTTTTCGGGGCTTTTTTTTCAGTTCGCCACATCGAATTATCTACGTGGTACAGTAGAAAAATGAAATTGTTTCGACGTGTTAAATGACTTCTCGAAAAGTTGCTCGATCAACGTTATCAATATCTTTTTTTTTTTTTTTTTTTTTTTTTACATTTGAACGATACACTTCGAGTAAGTTGTTGGTGAGATACAACAAAATTCAGTAAACTGCGAGATCTTTTATTGTTTGTTTTATATACACAGATATGTGTATAATAAAACAATGTGTAAAATTATAAAATAAAAAAGAAATTTCATTCTCAACGATGCACATTTAAAATATTTTCAATCGAATCATTTAGTTAATATTTTAATTTCCGATCAATATAACACCCTTAGCACTCTATTTTTTTATTTTTTAATTCCTAATATTTAATGAAATATAATAGGCAGTATCTAAATATATAATTGAATTGTTAAATGTTAAACAAATAAAAACGATCGAAACTATTCTGTTACGAAAAGAAACAAACAAAGAAACAAACAAAGAAACAAACAAAATAATAGATATCTGAGAATTTGTTAAAAAAAGATAAAATAAATAAACGACTCTGGTCGTATCCCTTTTCTCATCATTTCGAATGCGAACGATGAAAGCATCATTTTCTCTTTACTCTCTGCTCGATGACGATAAAGCGATCGTCGATCGGCTGTCGAATAGAGAAGAGTTGAAATATAAAAAAAAAAAGAGTGCGTTTTGCATCGCGGACAGTGATCCAGAGGAAAACCTGGGGACGGTCGGCGGCAAAGCGTGATGTGAATAAACGCGCGCCATTAATAATTCATGTGCCATAAAGTGACACTGAGAGAGAGACAAAGAGAGAAAGAGAAGAAGGATAGAGAAAGAGAGAGAAAAAGAGAGAGAGAGAGAAAGAAAGAGAGAGGACTGCTCGTGATTACGGGCGATATCGAGAGTCAACCCGTAGGTAGGTATATACGTCTCTATATTTGTGTACGTATATATGTATATACATACGGTAGGGCATTATAAAAGCCACAAGTGTTACATTGCACATCGGTTCTTCCTACGTTTCTACCTAGCGATCGTCGCGTGTCATTGAAATTCCCTGCTTTTCACGCTAATAAAACACTCTTTTTATAATACACCAGCAGAGCCCACAAAATCTCTGCCCTACGGACTATCGTTTCTGTAAATGAAGAGTTTGACGAGTTTGTGAAAGGGAAAATTGAATGCAAATCGATATAGTAGAAAGATCATATCTGAAATAATTCCCAGGAAACAATACATACATATAATCGATTTATCTAAATTTCTGATAAACTCTTATGATTTAATATATTCTATCTTCATGTAACAATGAATAATATAGAAATGTTATAATTATTTATTTAAAATATGATTTTGTTCAATTAGAAAATACAAATTTCTTACTAATGAATCTAATTAAATTTTCATCTATTCGTTCACTTCAAATTAAAAGATAAAAATATTGTTTAATCATCGTCATTATCATCGTAATAATGTAACATCAACAATACAAAATTTTCAATCGCTCGAAGATTTCATTTCTTGAACACGGAAGATTCTTTCATCGGATAAGAAGGGAAAAAAGAAAAAAAAGAAAAAAGCACAGATAGTACCTATCTACTTACTTTATAAATCGTGTTTGTATACGATGAAAAGCGTGGCGAGGGGAGCGGGGCTCCCCACGCCTTCGTTCTTTTCAGACCGTTCTCATTTTCTCGACACTGTGTCTACGAGACGAATCGAATCGTACGGGGCCTGGTATGCCCCTTCGAAACTGGCCCCATAGCAGTGCCATGTGCTGCTGTAGGCCTGCCTGCCACTCGATCGAACGCCCTTCAGGTAGAAAAACGCATCGGTCGGCTAATACACGCATCTGGCGAGCGTAACCACCCCTTTCCACCATTTCCACCCTTTTTACCTATCCTCTTTCCTTTTATCTTTCCTATAACGATGGTATTTGTAAATCGTCACGGTTTTTATACATAATATGCCATATAGATGACAGGTTTTACTTTTATTAAAGGCTAAATGCTGATCTTCTATTACGGACTCAACGTATGTATGTTAAAGGTGAAATAACGGAACAAATAAAAAATAAAAAAAGAAAAAAAAAGAAAGAAAAAATAATCTAAGAACAAAGGAACTATTCTTACACGTATTTAATTTAGTTTCGAGAAAGTTATTTCAACGTGTACTCAACGATGTATCGTTATCTTTATTACTAAAAAAAAAAAAGAAAAAAGATTATTAATCTGAAACAAATAGTTCAATAGATATCATTATTATCAAATCCATATGACAGGAACTATTCGTTCACTAAGTACATTTAAGTAATAGAAAAGACATTGATGCAAAATCCTGGATAGAAACGATCCTATCTGAGAAAATCGTTTCGGGAGACAGCGCCTATCTAAATAAGCACAGGTGTGCCATTTTTGCCTAAGGCAATAGAAATTTATAGACTCCTTCGCGCCTTCGTTCTAACGCAAATCGATACTCTCGGTTACGGCGACAAACGAAAAGGAAAGAGAGATAGAGTAGAAATCGAAGGAAAGGAGGCCCAAAGGGATCGGCTTCGATTCAATGCCCTTATTCGTTCTGGATATACGTTACTTGCTAAGTGTTATCTCGATACAGGTGCGTACGTCCGAGGATGGAAGATGAACGATCGTTAAAGAGAGGAAACACTATGCAGATGAGAGTATACACGGACTTCTCTAGTATACTATTTCTGTCTCTCTTTATCTCTCTCCCTCTCTCTCTCTCTCTCCCTCTCTCTTTCTCTCTTCTGCTCTTTCTTCTTCTCTTTACTTCTCGACGATACATACATTCCAAACACTTAGAGAACATCGATGGCTTCCGCGCGATTCGAAAGACTCGCTTCTAACACCTACTACCTAGGAGAGTCTACTTCTTTTGAAGTAGAATCCGCCCAGAAATCGAGAATCAAACATAAAGAAAGAAAACATCGAATAGCTCGTATATCCTTCGTCGTTAAAACGGAAAGTGGAACCTGCTTTTCCACCTTTTATTTTGTCGATCTTCACGTTGAAGTTCAACCAATCGAGATACGTAACTATAGTTATACTGTATCTATATTTAAAAATTTCTAAATATATTGATATATATATATATAAAGATACCATAAATTGTAAAATCTATTAAAAGGTGTCTATTACTTATGATAAATATTTATTCAAACTGATTATGTATTTAATCATCGTTCATCCATTCTGAAAAAAGGAATGATCGAATTTATCATAAATTCGTTAAAAAGCGTATATCAAATAGATAAATTCCTTGATCGAAGAAATTTTATTGAACATATCCAAAATAAGAAAGTATCCAACATCAAGGAAAGTTGAGCGTCGTACGTCGTACATGAGACGCTCGTAAATTCAAGAGAACTCGAGTGACCGCTAAAGAAGCCATCGATCTCGTTTCATCGATAATCCAATGCCGGTGGTATCGACAAGGTCTACACACGTATCTCTTTAGCCTTCCCTTCGTCAAGGTGCCGGGTCCTTCCCGGAGGGCCGAAACCGACGCACGATCCGCGTAATCACCGTAATTTCGTCCAGCGTGTCGTAATTTTTGAACGAACGGTCATAGGAACGGTTTCATTCGATTTCATTTAATACCAACGCGTAGGTATACCTATACCCTTAAGGCATGATACTCCTTACTCTACTTTTCTCGTCTCTCTCACTCCTCCCTCTTCCTTCTTCACTCCCATCCTTTTCTTCTCTCTCTCTCTCTCTCTCTGTCTCTCTCTCTCTTTCTCTCTTTTCTTTATACTACGATAGGTAATCTAGAAAAGAGAAGAAAAATAGGAAGAAAGAATACTGAAGAAAAAAAAACGTCGAAAAACAAAGGAAAGGGAGAGAGAGAGAGAGAGAGAGAGAGAGAGCAAAAGACGATGGGGAAGAAGGAAGAGAAAAAAGAAGGTGCAACGCGCTGTCCGTCAAAACGTTATTCTCTGTACTCTAAACCATTGATTAGCGTGAGCTGAATTAATAAGATTAATGAACACGATACAGAGCTTGGTTTTACGAACGGCGAGTTTCACTTCCGTATCGGCGCAGAGGCCCTGTGCGAAAATGCTCGAGTTACGTCGCCGAAGTATAATGGATAATAAGCGAAAACGAGCGCTTTAACTCCCCAGGACTTTCGATCGCCCACTTTTTTCGATTTAAAGAGTGATCCAAGTAGATTGGATCTCATCTATTATAAAACGAACCGGTTCATCGATTGAATCCCATCGAATTACGAGGAACGATCCAATTTCTAAGGAAATATAAATTATTTTTTCTCTTTTCTTTTGTTCTTTCTTTTTTGTTTTGATTTGTTTTAATCGTAACTTCGATTGCGCTCGAGTTCGGCCCATTTTTCTTCCTTTTTTCTTCTTCTTTTTTGTTATTTTTTTTTCAGTTATCGGTCGAACATTTTTACGTTACATTTTTCTTTTTTTTTTTCTTTTAATTGAGAAAAAAAGAAAGAAAAAATGAAAGTTAAAATCTGTTCAAGACGACAGAGAATAAACGTAGAAAAAAATAACTCACGGGTATCGATGGTTGCAACCCACGAAGAGAAGCCGTCGCGTTGCTCCACTTTCGTTGTTGCCTATTTTGATATTGTCCGGTAGTTCTATAGATGCTATTGTTTTGATGATTAGGACCGTATGGAGCACGTTGTGGCACGGACGACGGTCTAAAGGGTGGATAGGATAAAGATGGATAAGCCGATGCCTTAGCTCGATGATAATCGTCAAAGCATTGCTGCTGTTGTTGATGATGATGATGGTGATGATGAGAAGGAAGTGAGGAAGGATGATGAGGTTGAGGAGGTCGATGATGATGATGATGATGATGATGATGATGATGATGATCACGAAGATAGCCGTCGTTTGTGAGGGCAGATACCGCCATCCTATAAGCTGCATGTCGATCGTGCGACGATCGTTCTCGATCATGATGATCCTCGTGTTTAGGCTCGTCAATACGTCTACTCGGAAAAACATCCGGTAAACGTGGAGGTGGTGCGCTCGTAGGTGGCCCATAAAAACGAGGAAAACCGAAAGTAGAATTTGTTATATCGGGACGTTGATATCCTACTCCTGTTGTCCCTCCTCCTCCTCCTCCTCCTGTCACTCCTCCTCCTCCTCCTGTTCCTATTCCTCCTCCTCCTATTCCTTGACAGTGGGAAGGATAATCAGAGCTCTCGAATTTTCCGAGAAAAGCTTCGGGTTTTCGTTCATAACCATAATCCAAATCCGGACGATGATGATAATCATCTCCTCGTGATTCGGTCTTGGATTCGTAACCTTCAGTAGGCTCCGGCATCTCCAGCTTCACTTTCACTCTGCCGTTATCGAGCAGCTCGCTGCTAATAGTTCTGTTGTCGCTCGACGGCTCGCATTTCACCTGCGGAGACCTTGCGCACGGACTCCTCCGCTGATCTAAATCCCCGTCACAACCACCCACGCTAGCTTGCTGCATTTTCTCCACGATGTTCTCTCTTTCTCTCAGGTGTCGGATCGACACTCCTTCGTCGATAATCTCATCGTTCTCTTCATCAACCTGAAACCTTGAACGATCTTCCGCGCCACGTGATACGTGCAACAAAGTATGATCTAAAAGAAAGCATGTCTGGGGACTCTATATGAAAAATCAAAATCCACCAGGAAAACCATAAGAAACGTGTCTTCGTTGTCATCGTTTTTCTTCCCAAATTTCAGGACGTTTTAGACACGAAAAGGATTCAATGAGAAACGAAAGTTTCTCCATTTCTATGATAGATCAAATAGAAAAGGCACTTCCTTCGCATAACACACCTCCACGTTTCTAACTTTTCGGGAATCCAACGATGTAGAATAGATACGGTAAGTATGGTGGGGGATAACGAAGTGGAAGAGGAGGAGAACCCCTTGGCTGAGGTTGGAGAGGGGGAGGACAAGGGCGGCGTGACAGTTTCCTCGGTGTCACGTGTCCTCGACCTTAAGCCCCGCCTACGAGAACAATTTTCCTGCGCCCGAAAGGCAACGTCGTTCTTGATTTTTCTCCTTGTAGAAAAACACATCCGTTCTGTCATTTGTTTAGGATCTCTTTCGCTTAATCTAAACAAATCGTAACCAAGTCCAAGTCTGTACGAATTAGAGTCACTAGTATCGTTTCTTCTTGAAATAAGGGATCGCTCGCTCTATCGTAGAATTAGCATTTTAGTAGGGTAAAAATGGATAGAGAGAAAGAAAGAGAAAGAGAGAGAGAGAGAGAGAAAGAGAGAGAAAGAAAGAGAGAAAGAGGGAGAGGTAGGAAAAGTAATGGGAGAGGGAGAGGGAGAGGGAGAAAAAAAAAGAAACTGTCACTAGGTGGTGCCTTTTTTTCTTCGTCCCACTTTGTTCGTCCGCCTGTCTCTCTCGCACGCACGCACAGCCTGTCCCACTCCCGTTATCCCCACCTTTCTCAAGCGGCGACAAATCAACGTGCTTGAGGCAGAGCACACGACACACACTAGGAGCGAACGCGGCACGGTCAGTGGACGGTCGGGTGTGCGCGCGCGCGCACGACACGACACGACGCGAGGACAACACGAGAGAAGATAGATTGACGAAGAGACTCGGCGTCGTTCGACGATTGAACTTTTCAACGTTCGGTCAGCTCGAATGTTGGGTATTATAATCCATCGCGATGTTGTCCTTCGTCATCTTCTTCCTTTCTTCTTCCTTTTCCTCTTGGAGTTTCTCGTGAGCCGTTGGAGCTCTTAAAGCCGACGGCACGACGTTCGCGAGAACCTTGCGAAACGAGTAGCTCTCGTCGAAGTACCGCCTTCGCTCGCTTCCTCGCTTGCTTGTTCGTTCGCTCTCTCACTCGCCGGCTATTTTTCGATCGATCGGCACGCGCGCGCACATCGAGAACGACACGACTGGTCGTCGTCGGTCGTCCGTATTCTCGTTCTGGTCTCGTTATTCGTAGGACACACCGTGAGAAAAAGATGGACAAAGAGAGCAAGAGAGAGAAAGAGATAGAGAGAGAGAGAGGAAAAGAGAGAGGAAGAGAGAGAGAGAGAGAGAGAGAGAGAGAGAGAGAGGATAAGAGAGGAAGAGAGTAAAAGAGAAAATTAGAAAGAGAGAGAGAGAGAGAGAGAGAGAGAGTGAGTGATAGTGAGAGAGAAAGGGAGAGAGAGAGCACATACGTAAGGAAGCCGGGCTCGGTGAGCTGATCGCGTACGAGTTTCGTTCCACGCAGCGTGAAACTTGGCGGAGGTGCGCGGCCACCACCAAGAGACGGAAACTCACGAGTATTGCCGAGAACGACCGAACCTCGATCCATATCTCCATCTCTGTTTAACTCTCTTCCACTTCGTTCTTTCCTCCTCGCTCCGACCAGTTCGTCTCTATCTCTCTCTCTTTCCTTCTTTACTACCCTACTCTACCTTCGTACTTTGCCGCCTCCCGCTTTCCGCGAACGCGTATCAACCGTGCAGACCCACGAAGTGGGTTCACCTTTTGTGAGACCCCCCGCACATCTCCGCCTTCAATATACATGTACATAGATCGTGTATATGTAAGAGGGAATACTCAATGCGTTACACGCACACAAACAGACATACACATACACATATACTGAGTAGGTATCTGTCGCTGGAGATGGATAGGTCGTTGACGAGTCTTATGATCTTATTTTTAGTACCTGCTTCCAATCTTTTGTGGTCCGATTTTTGAATGCGCTTAAAATACTTTCGGACCAGTTTATTTTTAATGCGTAACTCAGTACAGGCAATTAGGATTTAATGTACGTATTAGAAATACACTCTAAGTATTGAATTGAAATCATTGTTTTACGTTCTCAATGTTCGAGTTTATTATTAATTATAATTAATAATTGATACCAATTGTTGCTATCATCGTAATATAGATATCAAAAGACGACACATCAATTAACTCTTCCATCGACCACAACAGGCAATTGGATTTCCAATTTCCCATCGATCGGTAGTATAACATTTACTGGTACGCAACGTGTAAAAAAAAAAATAGAAAAAAAAGGAACGTCACGATCTTCAGCTTGCCGTGCGGAAAACAAAGGTAGACTTGGGTGAGGAGAACTCCAGATCGAACGTCTGGATCGCTAGGAGAAGGAAGCGGTACATTTTAACGGACTCTCTCTCTCTCTCTCTCTCTCTCTCTCTTTCATTTTCTTTCTCTTTCTCAGGGCTGGCAGGTAAATCGTTGGAAACGTAGAACGTATACCAGTTCTACGGGGTGAGGCGAAACAAAAGGAGAAGAAGGTGGAGGAGGAGAAGAATGAAGAGAAGAGAAAGAGGGGGGAATAGTACCTCCGGCTCCCTTTTCGATCTCTCCGAGCACATCGATGTATATATATATATATATATATATATATATATATATATATATATAGGTAATATACAGGTAGTATACTATATAGTGTACATGGCCGCAGCCCCTGGACTCGCGAGAGAAACGCGTCGAACACGGTGCGTTCGTGTATGCACTTTCGCAGCGGGATGACTGGTGAGAGAATTCAATTTCCGTCGTCGTTATCGTTGCCTCCATCAGACTCCTCGTCGTTCCTCTCGATTCGAATCTCCCGGTGAAACAATCGTTTCCATCCCCGAAGATGAGACGATTGAACGAAGCTTTCTTTTGTATTTTTCTTTCTCTCTTTATCTTTATCTTTCTCTTTCTATCTCTCTCTCTCTCTCTCTCTCTCTCTCACACATACATGCACACGCACAGTACTTCTTTTTCTGTCTATCTCTGTATCAAACTCGGGGACGTCACGTTGAGTGTTTGCGATTGATAAAATATCGGGACTTACCTACGTTGGAAACATTTCGTTGTTAGAGATATTGCAATTTCACGAGAGGCAGGGTCGAGCCCTCGTCAACTGGCCGATCTGGCCAACTAAGCGAATTACGTTTTACGACTCGGCAAATATAGTCCTCGTTACGCAATAGGTCTACGCTTCCCAGCTGTCCGATCAGTGGTTTCGAAAGGGAACGCTAGGGTGTACTTATTTACGTGTATAGTTAATTCACAGGAAGGAAGAAAAATGAACGTAAGTATTTAAACGTTTACCTCCGATCTATCCTATGGTATTCTTATCTTGTTAGATTTTCATAAATGAAAAATAAAAAAGAAGGAAATAACAAATGAGATAAAAAGGATCATCCTTCAAATCAGGATCAGTCATTTTAGAAATAGCATACCAAGATAAATAAAACATATTTGATCGATTTAAATTTGATACACGACATGAGAGAAAAGAAAATGTTCTTCGTTCACGATCATTTTTATAGCTTGATCTTGGTAGAGAAGGTAATAGTAGTAATAAAAAAAAACGAAAACGAAGACGAAGATGAAGAAGAAGTCTCAGGAAGGATCCTGCGCCGTCTGGTTGTCGGCGAACGGTTGAAACGTTGGTGAGGGCGTGTGTCACCAGAGTGCCTGGGGACAGATCGAACCAATGGGAAGTTGTGGAAGGCGTGGATGGTGGGTACAATCGGGGACAGTCGACGAAAGACACGGGCAAGTAAGGTTCTCTCTCCGTCCGGTTGTGTGCGACACGAGCCGTCCCCCTCCTCTGTGGGTCGCTCGCGAAGCGAAGCGAGGGACATCTCGGGACGTCGGTCGGTTGGGGTCGAGTGGTGGGGAGAGCGTTGGAGGGGTCGTAGGGGAAGGAGACCGAGGAGTGGGGAAGCCAGACACGCCCACCGTGTGAAGGAGTGGGAGAAGACGCTCGACTGATCCAACTCTTTCTATCCTTCTCTCTCTTTCTCTCCCTCTCCCTATTTCTTTTTCTCTCTCTCTCTCTCTTTCTCTTTCTCTTGTCTCTCTTTCTCTTTCTTCGTGCTGACAGCGGCGCGCATGTGGCATCTGCTTCTCCACGGATACGTCGCACGGATGACACCGGAGATTGCTCCTACCCAACGTATCTACGTAAGAGAGAAAGAGAGAGAGAGAGAGAGAGAGAGAGAGAGAGAGAGAGAGAAAGAGAAAGAGAGAGAAATATACTCGCTTTTGTGAGTGCGCACACGCGCGTTTGTATATGTGTGTGTGTGTGTAGGCGAGTAACACGGTTTACGGAGAGAGATACCTATGCTCCCTGGTAGTAGTCGGCAGCTCGTACCTTCGCAGCCATGCACATAAATTTCCTTAGAGAGTCCCTACGTCACGGATCGTGACTATGAACCCAGTGAGATCGTAGGAACCGCGAGTACTATTCTCTTTCCTTCTCTTTCTCTCTTTCTTTCTTTCTATAGTTAGGTAAGTACTTACTTCTTCTGCCTAACGCCGTCGGAGATGCTAGAAACATGGACGACAAGCACCTAGAGCGACGTGTTCATGTTTGCCCCTTCCCAGATCTTTGCCGCCCACTCCTCCACTAAATTCATGTCCCTTTTCTACATCTCGATGCACCAAGATTATGACTGTTTGTAGTAGATATATAGTGAAGGTAATGCATCTCGAGTTATTCCGAGATCCATGTAATTTGGTTGTTCCACTAGATCGTGCGTCCATTCGCTCGACGCTAATCGCACGATATTTCTCCTTGATCGTTTGTTCACTCGCGCGGAAACACGTTCGGCGACGAGAAAGCCGTTGAAATGGGAAACGAGGAACGTCATTCTTCTGAAGTGACTTCTTCATTCGGGAAAGGAGTTTACCGTGTGAGTTTATTGTTTCGAATATATTCTTTTTCATGGAATGCCACGAGAAAAGAAAGGTTCCGCGTGTAAGGTTTATGTTTGATTTCGATCAAGCCTACCGAAGAATTATTTTAGAGAGTAACATGATGAGAGATCTCACACGTATGGTATGAGTAAGTATATATATATATATATATATATATATATATATATATATATATATATAAATCAATCCAGATTTATTAAATTCTATTTCTAAAAATATAGATATATTTCAATATATCTAATAATTATCTATATCAAATCAATGTCTCCAATTACTTGAAGAAATAAATAGAATTTTGTTAAATATAAATTCGAAGAAATTTCAGAATACGTGTTCATTTCTCTAGTTTAATCGAACGTTGATTTGACGTAGTCGATTTTTCTGTGAGATTTTTCGCGCATCGACTCGAGCGACGGGAGCTTCTCGAACGATTGACGTCTCTTAATTGCGGCTTTTCTCTTATCTACTGTCACCCTAGCTAGTCCCTTAGTAGCGCGCTAAATCGAAGGATTAGTTTCTCTATCAACGACGACCCACGTCGGACGCTTAATCTTTTTCCTCAACGATAGGGACTATGTTAGTTTCGTGAGCTTACTCCTTCGAAAATCGATCGGTCTTTTCGCAGTAAAGACACAAGACATATATACACACATACAGAACACATATACAGAACACATACAGATACACAAATACAAGGTGGCTAGTTTGTTGGTATGTACACTACGTCTACAGTATTATCGTTCGTCTTCTAACGTTTATTCCCTTTTTTGCTCTTAGTTGATCGTGTCTCAGAATAGTTTCTCGAGTTTCTTAAAATCCACTTAACCGTCAAACACGGTACTAAGCGCATTACCGGACCACTCGTTAGAGTACACACATACACACACACATATATATATATAATATAGATACCCCTTACCTATATAAGTATACCTTTAGTCAACATTACCTTATACTATATGTTCGAGTTCACCGAGTTTCTTTTGACACTTGACATTAAAAGTCACGGTATTCGTGCAACTACGTCTCCGTCACGTCAGGTTGACGGATCGGCGCTGCGCACTCAGGAAATTAGGCAATTTCCGCTCGGCGCTCGCTCGTGTCTGCGTTTAATAGCAGCGCCACGTTACTTCACCGGATCGGCGGAGTCGTGCTTGCTTAGGACGAGTATCGGTATAGCCGTCGTCGTCGCCATCGCCACTTTTCGTTTCTCTTGT